ATATTTGTAAACCTGTCAAGTTGGAGCCTTTTAGGGAGAACGTAACAATGCTCTAGGGGTTCCTGGAGAATTGGGACCCTCTTGAGGGCAAAGGCTGTACCACTTAGCAGCTTCTTATCTTTCTGGATCAAAGGGGCCTCCTCAGAGCCCTCTTCCCAAGCTCTAGAAACCCAAAGTGGACAAGGAAGTGTTGAGTCTGTGCCTAGTTTCTCTAATCGGTTCTGATAGTTTGTGTTATGTTCCTGAACAAAACTCCACATCATTCCAATTATTCAGCTTTCTAACAGGTTTAGATACTTTGTGGAACATGTCTTTTATTTCTCTTCTTTCAGTCTAGGTTCTTCTAAGGCCATTGCTTTTCCATATAGCTTTGAGAAATGGCCTGTCAACTTCTGCACACAAAAAATTAGTGATTTGGGAGTTTAACAGGAATTGCATGGAGTCTATGGATGACCTCTCTCCCAGAATGCTTTCTCTCTACTAGCCTCATCAGGCTCTGGGAACCCTCTGGGTTCACACTCTCTACATGTCACTCTATGGAGCTGATTTGACCTGCTTGGCTGACCTAAGCACACAAAACCCCATCCTACTCCGCATCTGTGGAATATTCTTTTCTCAACACTTCCTTATGTACTTTCTTCATTTCCATATCCTGATATGATGACCCTGAAGGCAGGATCTGATTAGTATAGTTCTCCTATCTCTACCCTCCAACCTTGCCCCACTGTGCCCAGGACAGTGTCTGAGACTCCATAGTCCTTGGTATGGACCTTTCCTCCTCTCTCTCTCTCTCTCTCTCTCTCTCTCTCTCTCTCTCTCACTCTCTCACTCACACACACACACACACACAAACACCCCGAGTTGATCAATATAACAGCCAGTGGAACCCTTACAAAAGTCATTGGTCAGATCCCATCTCTCCTGACCCTGAGCAAGGGTCCGGGAACCATAGTTCCCCAGATCTTCCAGGGAAACACTGAAATCCTTATCATGGTTTTGTGTTTATTCATTTTTCTCATCATAGTGTTTGAACCCCACTCCATCTGCAGCCCCCCACCTCACCGTACCCATTGCCTCTCCATTCCTCCTGTTCTCTACACTGGTCGGCCTCAGTCGATCTGGCCTCCTTGCTGTTCTTCAGGCATGCCAGGTACTGTCTTGACTTGGGGCCTCGGGATTTGATGTTCATTCAGTCTTTCTAGGACAGAGCCAGCACCACAGGCAGCTGAGTCGGGCAGCTCCGGCTTGCTCCTTCATATCACTGTGCAAATAGTAATTTCTCAGTCTTTTATGACCACCTGGTATGACTGCAAATGTCTCTTTCCTCCTTCTCCCATCCTCCTTTCCCTGCTTTATTTTTCTTCTTACCTTAGTAGTTATTACTATCTAATATGCTGCTCATTCTTTATTGTGTTAATGCCTGTTTCTCCTCACTGAAATGTGATCTCATGAGGGCAGAGATCTTTGCTTCCTCTGTGTAACAGCACCTAGGACACAGGGTTGAATAAAATATTTGTTGAATAAATGAACCAGGAGGGATGAGACCCAGGCCGACTTTTCCATTCACTTGCTGGGAGACTTGAATCAGACCAGGTCTGATTGCACATTGGGAGAATGTCTGTATATCTCTGAGGATTTCTAGATCTTCTGTGTGTGACAAGAGGGTTGTCTTAAGAAAGGGTGAACTGGTCTAGTTGAATAAGTTATGTACCACCCCTGGCTATGGCTTCTACTCTTCTCCAGCACAACTCAGGAATATGCTTCTTCTAACTCCCAACACTGCCTTCTGTCTCTCAGAGGAAATACGTGTGTAAGGAGGATACCACTTCCCTCAGAGACATCCTTTCTCTGTCACACCTCCACTGGCCCTCTCCACCCCACTGTCTAATCATTCAAGGCCCCCTCAAGGCCCCCTCATAGGGCTTCTTGATCTTTGATGCTTCTCACATCAATTGCCCGTCCTGTCACTGGGACCCTGTGTTATGGGCTGACTTTTGTGTCTCCCAAATTCCTATGTTGAAGTACTAATTCCCAGTATCTCAAAATGTGACTGTATTTGGAGAAAAATCTTTAAACAAGTAATCTAGTTAACATGAGGTAATGAGGGTAGGCCCTCGTGTCCTTATAAAGAGCTTAGGACACAGGGCTCTTCTTGGTGGTGCAATGGGTTAAAGCACCACATTATGAAGCTCTCTGAAGCCACTGCAGCACGAGTTTGCTCCCCTGCCAGGAAGCTGACCCACATAGTGTGGTAGGCTTCTCCTGACGCACCTGCTGCTCCCCTCAGCAGTGTGTTTCAGTACATCTGCCTGCTATGTTCCCCACTCTGTCTCCCCACTCTGTCCTCTCACCCACCACACCTCTGGCCTGTACCCCAGTTCTGTAAGCATAAATAAATAAATCTTAAGAACAACAACAAAAAGCCTAGCACCCAGACACAGAGCAAGGCCATGTGAAGGCCCAGGTAGAAGGTGGTCATCTACAAATCAAGAAGCTTCAGAGGAAACCAGTCCTAGTGACACATGGATCTTGGACTTACAGCCCTCAGAACTGTTAAGAAAATGAAATCTACATTGATAGGCTACTCAGTCTGTGTGGCACTTTCTTATGGCAAACCCAGCAAATTACTGCACCCTGTACAAACAAGGTGTTGTAGTTCAACCCCACAAACACCATGAAGAGCCAAGGTTGTCACGTTCTATCAAGTGAGGTAAAGGGAAGAAAAAACAGTCGGGCCAAAAGGGCTGGTCTGGGAAGTTTATAAGGTAGGGACCCATTTGCCTGGCTCGTTTTTGTACCTGCAACTGCACCCACCTGGAATACCTGCCTTTGTCGGTCTGCTGTGTCTTGTAAGGCCCAATTTAGAGCTTTCTACCCCCACTGTCTTTTCCTTCCTTACTGTTCTAGCCCATACAAACCTGCAAGTATTTAATCCTGACTCTTGCAGCTCACATGCTTGGGGCCTGCACTGTCCTGTGTCCATGTGGCATAACAGTGGCCTGGCTTCCCTAGCCCCGTCTTGATTCTTGCCTCTTGTCATAATCAGTGATGCTCCCACCCCCCAGTCTGCTCCAGTTCCAGTTGCTGTGTCTATTTGTCTAGTGACTCACTTATGGGAGCCCTCACCATCAGAGAACCTAGGATGGGCTGCTTAATGATTCTGAATTTCATTTATTATAAATTGTGTTAGGGAAAATTTCTCCTTTCTCCATGGTTGGAATCCTTAAGGCATCAATCTTATCCTCAATTATGCTCTCTAACCAGGGGAGCCCAAGATGGTTCTCCAGAAATAAGCTATTTTAATTAAAATGCTGGTAAAATTTTCTCTTTCCTTAAAAAAAATTACCTGTACAGTTTTGTGTTTAAAATTTTCTTTTATTGCGATAAAAATATACCTAATATAAAGTTTACCATTTACCATTTTTACGTGTACAGTTCACAGGCACTAAGTACATTCACACTGTTGCACAACAATCACTATTTTCCAGCACATGTTTATTAGTTCATGCTGTGCCAACTCTGTTCTCATTAAATATAATTCCCTATTCTCCCCTATCTAGACCTTGGTAAGCACCATTCTACTTTCTGTCTCCTATCAACCTGACTACACTGGGCACCTAATATAAGTGGAGTCATACACAATTTGTCTTTTGGTATATGACTAATTTCGCTTAGCATAATGTCTTGAAGTTTCGTTTACATTGCGACTTCTATCAGGAGTTTTCTCCTTTTTAATATCCCACTGTATAGCTAGCTCACATTTCATTTATTCATTCATCCACCGGTTTGTTGCCAGCTTTTGGCTATTGTTAATAATGCACTGTGAACATTGATGCATTTGTATTTTCTTTTGCTCTAAACCCAACTGGCATGACTGTAGGCTCTTGACTGAGTCAAGTGTTTTGGGTATCAAATAGCAAAGGGGATCTTGTTGGCATGTGAATGAAACCTTTCTTGAGCCCAGAGGCCACATCCCACCCTCTCCTTATTTCCTCTTGCATGACTCAAAAGCATCTATATGCAGCTAAGCACAGACAGACTTGAACCTTTGCTCAAAACTGTTTCCTAGCTTGGTAAACAGCCCTGCAGTTACCAGCTATAACAGCTAGAAACTCAGAAATTATCTTTGGCATTCATTCTCAATCTCCAAAACCCATTCATTCCAAGTACTGATACATGTTTTCAAATCATTTCTCAAATCTGCATACTTTTCACCTCCCTCGTCCTATACCACATCACTGTCTCCTTGACAGACTAAAAAGGGCTCCTCACTGGCTTCCCTGCTTCCACTTCTGCCCTCATTATCTCCAAGCTGTTTTCTATCTTATTTCTATAGCTAGGTAATACACCATTTAAACATTCCTGCTCGCCAGAGACGACAGCTGTGTCCCTAGATGGCAGCACATATTCACTCCCCGCTTCCTACCCACTTTGCCCTGGGCTTTCATTGATCTGCCTTGCGCTCCACCTAGGCGTTCTTTCTCCATCATCACTAATAGATGTCTCCGTCAGCTACCGCCCTGCCTCTCCGACCAATCATCCCGTTTCAAAGCTCGAAAGCCTTCAAGACACTGGGACGAAAACCCTTCCTTTATTCGTGGCTTCGTTTTCCTGGGGCCAGGCAGCACTCAGGATTGTTGTCAAGTCACGTCTTCAGTACGGCTCGCCGGCCCGCCTTCATGGCTCGCGACACTACTTGGGAAACAAATTGATAGATGCGCCGCGAGCGAAGAGTGAAGCTAGGCAGGTCTTTGTGGCTTCAGCGGAGGAAACCAGCTCGCGCGGCGACTCAGACCGGGAAGAAAGACTCCTCCTCCCAGAAACCCTTTCACCGAGGGACGGCTATTGGGCCTCCCCGCAAAGGAGACAGAGCATGCGCGGAGCCCGCGCGGGGGGGAAGGACTACATCTCCCAGCAGGCCAAAAGGGGCATTTTTCGCCTCCGCGTGACAAGTGACTTCCGGCGCAGAGGGGCGGGGCGGGGCGCGCGGCTGAGCCAGCAGCTGAGCGAGGGGAGCGGCCCGGTGGCCGGCGGTCGCCAGCCGCCATGGAGGCCGTGCCCCGCATGCCCATGATCTGGCTGGACCTGAAGGAGGCCGGCGACTTCCACTTCCAGCCCGCGGTGAAGAAGGTGAGGGCGCCTTCCAGCCGCGCACGTCCTTCCGCGTCTCTCCGTCGTCGGCCAGCGCGTGACGCCCCCTGCGCGTCCATCCCCTCCCAGGCCCTGTCGCAGGGTCTGGTGAGGCCAGCAGCGGCCTCCGGCGGCGCCCCCTGGCCTGCTGCTGCCCCTCCCCCCACCCGGGGCTAGCACCCAGTCTGCTCGGAGCCCGCTTCCCGACCTCCGCCACGGGCCATCCCGGTTCCCAGCGAGGCACCACACTTCCCCAGTGGGACGCCCGGGACCCGGCTCGACTCCGCCCCTCCGCGGGGCCGGGGCCGCGCCGTCGGGGGTGTGGGGCGGCCCTGATGCTCGCGTGAGGCGCGGGGCCCGGCCCTCGGTGCGCTGTCAGTCCACGCCCGGATTGCGACGGCCCGGTCGGGACGTGTGTTTGTAGACGGGAGCCCCGGGGACCCTGAGGAATTGCCTGACCCCTGCGGCAGGGGTCTCTGGCCCACCCGTGGCGCCAGTCCGTACCGTCTCCTCAGAAGAACCTATGCGGGAGCGCCTTTAGACCGAAAGATAAAAGTTCCGAGCCACTTTTTGGTGGGCTGCTGGTTTCCACACGGGTGGAGAGTGTTGTGGCTCCGGAGAGAGACCTTGCCAGTCATAGCGAATCTTCAAGTGTGGGCAGTGGAGAGAGGCGTGTTTGGAGTTGACCGAGGCGAGGGATCTCTGGAGAGAAATCAGGCCTGGCTGGTACGGAAAGGGGTCAGGTGTGTTGAATGGCGTTGGGCGCCCTGCGGGACACCTGCTGCTTTGGGAAGGCCGACCTGGGAGCATCGGGGTCGGAGAGACGTGGAAAGGAGCACCAGGAGGCTGTTCCAAGTTGGCATCCCGGGGGTGTGTGCGTAGCAGTTGCCAGAGGGATGGTGTATCACTCAGCAGGGGTCTAGAGAATAGAAGTAGGAGAAAGAAAATGGATTTGGAAGTTTCCACGGTGCTCTCTCCCACTTCACCCTGTCGCTATTTAACTCAATTTGTATTCCTTTGAATCCATCATTTAACCCCTTTAGGCCTCTTCTCCCTCTCCTCCCCCCCTCATTTTTAAAATCAGAAAATTAAATAAGTGTCTTTCAATTACAGAATTTTGTGAACCTCTCTGCTAGACTTTGGTCTCTTCTCCAGCTACTCTTTCAGGTGATTAATTTTTTCTAAAATGCAAACACTTCTACCCTAACCACTCAGAGCTCCCCCTGACAGCCCAGTTCTTTCTGCAGTGTTTCTGAAATAGGTATCCCAGATATTTTCACAGTCAGCTTCTGGCTGCTTTCTTAACATTTCTGCGTGTTTGCTCTTCTGTGTCTTTGTTCAAGGAATTCCCTCAGTCCAAAAGGGCTCTCATCTTTGCTGTGTGGGGTGGACATTTAATTCTGTATATTGGCTCTGTCCTTTCAAGGCCCAATTTACAATGTTTCCTCTTTAATCCTTTCATCTTAATTAATCTTTTCCTTTATCCCTAGCTCTTTTTCATCCTTTTTCTGATGACACAGTGTTATGCTTTGACCCTTCTTTTGAATTGTAAGTTACCTGACAGCCTGCTTCATACTCCTTACAACTTAGGGTTTCCTCTACGTCATTGACATTCAGAAAATGTTTTTCAAATAACTGAATGACATTTGAGAAGGAATTTAGAAATGGTGACCATAAATTTATGTATTTTTAACCAAGAAATTCCTAGGAGATTTTTTTTTTTAAAGATTTATTTATTTATGCATACAGAACTGGGGTACAGGCCAGAGGTGCAGGGGCGGCGAGAGGCTTCACCAGAGACAGAGTGGGGAGCAGAACAGGCAGATCAACGAAGTACACTGCTGAGGGGAGCAGTGGGCGGGTCAGGAGAGGTCTGCCACGCCATGTGGTCTCCTCCAGGGCAGGCGGGAATCGAACTCATGCGGAAGTGGCTTTAGCTTCTCAGTGCTGTGCTTTAACCCGCTGCGCCACCAGGGAGGGCCACCTAGGAGATTTTTAAAAAAATTATTTATATTTTGGTTCATTTTAAAACAATGTTTACTTCCCCTTTCCCCCAATTCACCCACACCACAGTTCCACACATCCCTCCTTCCCTCTCCCTTATAGGATATCTGATTTATAATTGTCTGTTTTTGTTTTGTTTTGTTGTTTTATATTGTAATAACAATACAGTTTTTTCCCTATGTCTTATTTGGTTCTTTTATATTCCTGCTATAAGTGAAACCAATATTTTTCTTTTTCTTTCTGATTTATTTCACTGAGCATGATCCCTTCTAGCTCTATCCATGTTGCTGCAAATAGCATGTGCTTATCTTTTTTGATTGCTAAGTAGTATTCCATTGTATATATATATATATATACCACATCTTCTTTATCCAGTCATCTAACATCTAATTTTGGGCATTTGGGTTGTTTCCTAGAAGATATTTCTATTTGAATTTATCTTTCGATAATCTAGTCACTTAGTGACCAACCAACAATAAGTTCCCTTGGAAGCTCCTAAGTCTCCATGAAAGGAGTTTTCCATTATCTATTTGTCCTGAGGTAGTATTAGATACTGAAGAAACAAAAACAATTCATTTCCTGGACATTTTTTTTTTTTTTTTTGCTTCCTCTTTGGAATTGGAAGAGAATACCATTTGATAAGTTAAGATTGTGACATGTGGCCCCTCCCTGGTGGTACAATAGGTTAAAGCACAGCACTGCAAGTGAGCTGCAGCTGCTTCAGTGTGAGATTGATCCCCAGCCCTGGAGATGATTCACAAGGCATGGCAGACCTCTCCTGACCCACCTGCTGCTCCCCTCAGCAGTGTGTATCAGTCGGCTTGTTCTGCTACCCACTCAGTGAATACTCTCACTACCCCTGCACCTCTGGTCTGCACCCCAGTTCTATATGTATAAATAAATAAATCTTTAAAAAAAATTGTGACATGTATTTGCTACAGCCCACTGAAAAGGAATAAGCAAATGGGTAGTCTGGGCTCAGAAATGGCCAACTACCTCAGGATGCCTTGTAACTTTTCCAGCAGGGAAAGAGGAGTGTCTGCAGAAGCCTCATCTTGGAAACTGTACCTGATCTGGACTGCTCTCCCCTACTCGAGAGCCCCTGATTTGTCTTCTGTCTCTGGTATCCTTGTCCTTTTCTATTTACCCTTGTTCTGAGCTTCAGGAATCTGTAGGAGCTAAGGGACAGGATTTAATTTAGGATAATGAGGTAAAAATTGGTTCGGTTGAGGTCAGTATGTTGAACCCCTTTGCTGAGCTTGGTGATACAAATGAATAAGACAGTACTACTCAACCCCCACCGCCAAATTCATACTCTAGTAATTTGAAAATTAGACAATGATATCAGTGTAAAAGTAGAAGTATATGCAATATGCAAATGCATTAGCCTAAGAAGGGCCATCAGGGAAGGCTTGCCAAGATGGTAAGAAATGAATAGTTTTCTAGATTTCTAAATAAAGAGCTTCTTTTTTGTAAGTGCCAGGCTTTTGAAAAATATTCATAATTGTTAGTATTGGTTTCATTCCTGATGGACAGCCTTTCAATTTTGGGATAATGCCAAATAAAAACCAGGAGAATAGCAAGTTTGTTTTGAACTGCAGTGTCAAACTTTAGGATACCTCACTTCACTTAATTCTTAGTGGGGCAATGGCTGCTTGCCTTGTATCATCTTATCTGTGCTTTGGAGTCCAGAATACTGACTCACCGGAAACTGATAAAGAATGATTCTTGTGCTGTCCATCAGAGAGAGATTTGGTCACAAGTGTTTGTTTTTGAAGTTCTTTTCTCTTCCTATCTCAAACACCTGCCCTTTAAGCAGCTGCACTTGAGCTCAAGTCAGGCTCACTTGAACTGAGTTGTTGCATCCATCCCTGATTAATTCATTGAATAATTACTAAGACCCTTTTCTGGGAAACCAGGGCTTTATGTAATGACAATCCCTGCCTTTGTGGAGTTTATCTTCTAGTGAATCACATAATAACCCATTTTCAAGTGCAGATAGACTGTAGGAAAGCCACCCTATCACCCAAGTGACTTCTTGGTCTCTCCTCCCACTGTGGTGGGAATGAACTCTGTCTTCATATCCCCTCCAGATTCCTCCAGAGAAACTCTTTGCTATTTAAGGCCTGCTCCCACTTCAGCCCACCTCTCTTAACTTCATGTGTGCATGCACACATTCACAGCCTTCTTCTATAGGAACTTTAGCCTGCTTTTCCTTCCATGTCTGGTCATTGTACTTGTTACACCCATACTGGAATTCCTTTCCTACTGTTCATCATCCAGGTTGAACCACACCTCAGGGCCCTCAGCTGCACGGCAATTGTACCACCATCCTTCACATTCAGGCGGGTCCTATGCTCCTGTTATTCAGTTGATCTATACCACAGTACCCACTCATATGGCCTCTTACAGTTCATCTTATTCATGTCTAAGTAGACCCTGGTTTTTCAGGCTTATGGAATTTTCCCCCCTTCCAATATCTGAGACAGTGAGTTCTTTTGAAAAGCTTGTCCAGAGATTTAAAAGTGTCCTGTGTCCTCAGCAGTGAGGCGCACAGGAAGGACATTGCTATTTACTTGTGGTGGTAATCTCTTATCATAGACTTTGAGTCACCACTTGTATTTCTGCCGGCCCACTTGTATTTACAGTGAAATGGCTCCAGATACAGGTGGTCTGGATTATTTAGTTCATTCTTCTCCCATTTTAATCTTATATCAAAACCCTGTATCAGTTTCATACCAGACTCTTTACTTGGAAAGTAATAATATGCTTATATGGAGAAAGGGCTAAACAAGTGTTGGTTGAATGCACTAGCACAACTGGTGTTGTTCAGACAGATTGAGGGGCCGTAAGGGGGAGATGTGGGACAGAGACTTTGGCTATTATGTAGGGGTTAGACTAGATGAGGATAAAGGTCTGATCTTACCCCCTGTGCTCTTGGCCTGTAATTTTGTTTTAGCACTGAGTGGCTGATGCCTTTCCTTGGCAGTAATAAC